CCCCCCATGAGCTGCACCTCATCCATGGCGCGGATCTCCAGGCGCAGCTTGTCCATCACCGTGATGAAGAGCTGGGGGCAAGTGTGTGCGTGACGCAATACCCCCACCAGGGGCCGGGGGGGCGACCCCTAGCAGGATCTGGCCCAGGCCACCCCCCAGCCCCTCTCTTGCTTAGGAACCCATCCTCCACGGCCTCGGTTGTTGGTCCTCAGGCTCCTCCCACACTTCTGTTCCCACAACCTGGGGTTCATCCACTTTGCTGCCTGCGGGAGCTCTGGCGGCCTTGACCCAGGGCCGTCCCACTGGGTCTCAGGCAGGGAGGGGACTCGGAGGCCTCCTGGACAAGGCCCAGGGGAGCAGCCTGCCCCCCCTCATTCTGAGCCACAGGCCCTGCCAGTGAGGAGCCAGGACCATGCAGCTCCAGGGAAGCCAGGCCCTGCGCACGTGCCATGGCGGCCTCACCGAGACCACGTCTGCAATGCAGCGGTTGAGGTTGCCCTTGTCGTCCTTGATGGTGATGGGCCTGTCCTCCTTGATCCTCTCCATGGCCAGTGGGCAGTCCAGCTGAGAGGAGGCACAGGGGTGTTAGCCAGGCCCCTTCCCAACAGCACCCACATCGCGCCCACCTCCCGCCCCCCTGGCAGACTCACGCGGAACTTGCGGCAGAATTCATCGATGGAGCTGATCTCTGAGCCCTGGACCTGCCGGAAGGCGGCTTTGTACTGCACCAACAGGCGGGAGCAGGCTGCGGTGTACCTGGGGAGAGGACGGGCTCAGGGCCAGCATGCCCGCCCTGCCTGCCCCGACCCAGGGCCGCTCTGGGGAGAAGGGGGGCTGGGTGATGAGTCAGAGCTGGCCCACTGAGGACGAGACCGTCCATCGGGTCTACACGGGAAGGTTCTGGGGGTGGCAGAACCAGGCCTGGACCGCAGATGGGTCGGAGCCCTGCACTGCAGAGGCTCTCCCTGTGCCTGCTCTCCGGGACTGTGGTGGTCATGCCTCCACACCCACAGCCCGTGGCCTCTGGGGGGCCTGTCCCCCCGAATAAAGGCTCCATGAACCTCCCAGGAGCCAGGATCAGCAGCGCCCTCCCGACTCTTGCTCGCCTTCCAAAGGCCTCACCAACGAGGACATCTGCACCCGCGGGAGCAGGCTGGGATGAACCGGGGAGCAGGGCGGTAGGCACCTCTCCATGGGGATGCTGCAGATGGTGCCCGGGCTGCCAGCACCCAGAGGCACCCTCCAGCCCGACAGGGGAGGCAGATGCCCACATGCAGACCCCTCTCCCCTCTCATTCTTGAGCACCCTAGCCCTGGAGGGAAGACACGGCTTCCAGGGCAGGCACCCATCTGTGGGTGGCAGCGCCCTCACTCGTTGGGGGTGACGCAGTCCTTGATGTACGCCTTCTCCAGGGCCTGCATGGTCTTCACAACGGCAAACAGCTCCGCCATGTTGTCGTACCTGAGGAGGGCGTGTCGTCAGGCCAAGGCCACGAGGCCCCCAGGGCCAGGCAACACCCCACTGGGTGTGTCCACTGTGGCAGAGCTCTGACCCACGTCCTTCGGACCCTGGGTGTGAAGGCTGCTCAGGGTAGGAGCATGGGCCTGAGGGGGTGTGCTGGGGGGGTGACATGGGCGCTGGACTCACTTCTCCCGCTCTCGGGCATTCTTGTACAGCTTCACTTCCTGTCGGAGAGAGGGGCAGCATGTTGGCAGACTGGTGTTCACATGGGCATATGCTGTGGGTCAGCGCCAACCAGGCAGGTGCCCGCCACTCACCTCATACAACTCCGGCTTGTTTCCAGGGGCTGTAACAGAGCAGGCAGAGAGCTAGCAGTCTGTCCCCCACCCCGGCCCTCCTGAGACCACCCCCAGGCTATGTCCCCGTATGGGGGGGCACTTAGCGATGCTCCCATAACCCCCGGCCACGGCTCGGGTCAGCCTGCTACAGTGGCTGAAAGTCTGGGCCCTCCCCGTGCCTGGACCCAGCTCACCTCCCACGCCTGGCGTGGCTGGGATCCCGTGGAACATCCTTAGGTTCAGCGGCCACAGCAGAGACCTGTGGAGCAGGACCAGCACCAACTCAGAGGCACCCCCGATGCCGTGCGAAGAGCTTCCCGCTCTCAGCAGACAGATGAGGAACAGCAACAAACCCAGGGCAGTGGGTGCTGTGTGGGGGCCGCCCTTCCCCGGGAGAGCAGTCAGGGCCCTGCCCGAGGAGCTCGGGTGGTTAAAGCGTCGTCACCACACACCACGGTTGGGGGTTTGATCCCTGGTCAGGGCACATACAAGAGAGAGCCAACCAATGATGCATAGATATGCATCATAGATATGCAACAAGTCAGTGTCTCTTTCCCACTCTCTCTAAAGTTAATAAGAGAACAAATATTTTCAAAGGAGAGCAGCCATGGTGTGGGGAAGGGCAGGCTGCTCCGAGCCTGGTGACCAGGCAGGGGCGGCGGCAGCGTGTGGGTGGACGACCAGGAGGCGCGTTTGGGCAGAGGGAGCCGCACAGGTAACGGGTGGTCTTTTCTTTCTTTTTTTTTTTTTTTGAGAGAGAAGGGACGGCAAGAAAGAAAAGCACCTCCGTTAGAGAAACATCCACAGGCTGCCTCCTGCACGCCCCCTGCTGGGGATCAAGCCCGCACCCGCATGTGCCGGGGCTGGAAGGAACCTTTCGCCCAGAGGATGCTGGACGCCGAGCCCCTGGCAGGCCCGGGTCCTCATACACCAGGTCTGGTTCCGGAGGACAGACGGGCCGGGTCCCCGGGGAAGGAAGGCGGCGGCAGGGCCAGGAGCTCCCGGAGGACTGAGGACCAGACTCCGGGGGCGCCAGGGGCGGGAAACGG